CCTCCCCCTCCTTCCACCTATCCCTCCCTCCGTCCCTCTGCTAACATCAGCACCACTGAATATAAAGACTGGGTCCTCTGTTAGCCAGGCACAATCGTCCCTTGGGTCAATGTGGAACATTCCCTGGAAAAACCTCCTTGTACCTGCCTCACACCATTGCGAAATGTTCCCAGCCACTGTTAAAGATGAGCGTCCCCTCTCCACCACCACCACATGAGAGGCAGGGGAGAGGCAGGGGAGGGGCAGGGGGGGGGCAGGGGAGGGGCTGGGGCTCTATACAAAATCAGAGGCTGAGACTGGCACTTGGCCCCGCACTTCCTCTGTGAGGCCCGGTGTTCAGCTCTCTGTGCTGCTGTCCTTGCTCCCGCAGCGAGCTGGAAGACTTTGTTGAAGACTTGAAGGACTCCAGGGCAGCCAGCCGATTGGTTACTCTGAAAGACGTGGAAGACGGGGCTTTCCTCCTGCGTCAAGTGGGAGAGGCTGTAGCTACCCTGAAAGGTAAGCTTTGTGCTGCGCCAGGGGAGGAGTCTGAACTATCTTTCCTGGGGTGTTTAAAAATCTGCCACGTAGAGAAGGATTCATTCATGTATGCAAGTATTTATTAAACACCTACATGTGCCGGGCATTGTTCTGGGCACTTGGGATATCCCAGAGCACAAACATCCCCCTCTTCCTGGTGCTGATATTATAGTGGGTGCTGTAAGATTTCACACTAAATGATTCCAGTAACACTTTCTATTTGCTAGGCTCTTACAGTGCACCAGGATGCATGTGCCAAACTCATTAAAAACACAAGGTGGGAGGATCACTTGAACCCAGGAGTTCAAGACCAGCCTGGGCAACATAGAGAGACCCCCGTTTCTACAAACAAAATAGCCACGTGTGGTGGTGCATGCCTGTGGTACCAGCTACTCAGGAGGCTGAGGTGGTAGGATCTCTTGAGCCTGCAAGGTCAAGGCTATGGTGAGCCATCATTGCACCACTGCACTCCAGCCTGGCAGCCTGGGTGGCAGAGTGAGACCTTGTCTCCAAAAAAAAAAAAAAAACCCCAAAAAATAAAATAAAATAAAAATCCTGTAACCAGGCATGGTGGGTCATGCCTGTAATCCTGGCACTTTGGGAGGCCAACACAGGAGAATCGCCTGAGGCCAGGAGTTCAAGACCAGCCTAGGAAACATAACAAAACCTCATCTCTTAAAAAAAAAAAGTTTTTTTTCTGGCCAGGTGTAGTGGCTTATGCCACTTTGGGAGGCCGAGGCGGGCAGATCACCTGAGGTCAGGAATTCGAAACCAGCCTAGCTAACATAGTGAAACCCCATCTCTACTAAAAATACAAAAATTAGTTGGGTGTGGTGGCGCAAACCTGTAGTCCCAGCTACTCAGGAGGCTGAGGCAGGAGAATTACTTGAACCCAAGAGGCAGAGGTTACAGTAAGCCAAGATCATGCTGCTGCACTCCAGCCTGGGTGACAGAGCGAGACTCCATCTCAAAAAAAAAAAAAAAAAAAAAAAAATTAATTAGCTGGGCATGGTGGTGTGCAGCACCTAAATTGTCTCAGCTCTACAGGAGGCTGAGGCAGGAGGATCGCTTGAGCCCAGGTGTTTGAGGCTCCAGTGAGCTCTGATCATGCCACTGCACTCCAGCCTGGGTGACAGAGAGAGACCCCATCAATCAGTCAAATTACAAAGTAATAATAATAACCCTAATGGTCTATTGGCTTTATCCCAAATACACAGACAGGAAACAGGCCTAGAGGAGCTTTACCCTTGCCCAAGGTGACTTTCTCCAATGCTCCTCTGTGCTCTTAACCCACTGCCACCTGAAGATGTGTGAGCCACCCTGTGGCTTGTGAACTCTGCAATTCTCTGTCCAGTATCGGAGTGCGGGATGAGGGTTGTCGTTCTGGCTTTTTCTCCTCCAATTCACCTGCTGGTTTGGCCTGCAGGAGAATTTCCAACCTTACAAAACAAGATGCGAGCCATCCTGCGCATAGAAGTGGAGGCCGTGCGGTTTCTGAAGGAGGAGCCACACAAGCTGGACAGTCTCCTGAAGCGTGTGCGCAGCATGACAGACATCCTGACCCTGCTGCGGAGGTGACCGGGCCCTTACCGTGCTGGGGGTGGCCTGCGGAGGGGTGTGCTGGGAAAGCGAGAGTGGAGGTTTGGGACTTCAGGCTTCCACCATGCTCCCAGGACATATCCAGTGTCCTGAGGAAAAGCCCCAAGTCCTTCTCACGCTTGAACTTTTATTGCAACATGGCTTGAGGTTCTAATTCTTCAACACAGGATTGTTAGGTGGAGCCCATCCTAGGGTTTAAAATTAATAGACACAGTAAACATTGTTTTAAAATCATCTGAAAGGCCAGCTGTGGTAGCCACTCAGGAAGTAGAGGCAGAAGGAGCCCTTGAGCCCAGGAGTATGAGGTTACAGTGAGCTATGACTGAGCCACTGCACTCCAGTCTGGGCAACAGAGAAAGACGCCATTTCTTTTAAAAAAAAAAAAAAAAAAAATCATTTGAAGGTGGGTTTTTTAAAATAATATTTTGAAGTTGAAAAATTGAAATAGTTTATTCGCCTCCTTCACTTCAGGGGCATAGATAAATTCAGTTCAAAGAAATGTAATAGAAGTAAACAAAGACTTTCTTAAGTGACTTCCTGAAGGAGTATCTGTGAGATTGTTGGTCCTGCCTAGAAAAGAGAAACAAAGCCTTTTGAGTGGCTTGGGCCAGGCTCCCTTACTAAAGGTAAACCTGCTCATCAAAGAGGTCACAGTGGAGTAAAGACCAAAAGAAATTCAGGACTTTCACTGAAAAGAAAATTTCAGGCCGGGCACGGTGGCTCAAGCCTGTAATCCCAGTACTTTGGGAGGCCGAGACGGGCGGAACTTGAGGTCAGGAGATCGAGACCATCCTGGCTAATATGGTGAAACCCAGTCTCTACTAAAAAAATACAAAAAAAAAAAAAAAAGAAAAAAAAAAACTAGCCAGGTGAGGTGGCAGGCGCCTATAGTCCCAGCTACTCGGGAGGCTAAGGCAGGAGAATGGTGTAATCCTGGGAGGCGGAGCTTGCAGTGAGCTAAGATCTGGCCACTGCACTCCAGCCTGGGCAACAGAGCGAGACTCCGTCTCAAAAAAAAAAGAAGAAAGAAAATTCCAATACTCCACACTCACTGAAAACACATATGCATGCAAAATTTATGTTGCCAAAAGCACCTTCACTGGCCAGGCACAGAGGCTCACGCCTGTAATCCCCGCACTTTGGGAGCCGAGGTGGGTGGATCACTTGAGGTCAGGAGTTCGAGACCCTCCTGGCCAACATAGTGAATTCCCGTAGGAATTATAGACAGTGGCTTGCCTGTAATCCCACCTACTTAGGAGGCTGAGGGAGGAGAATTACTTGAACTCAGGAGGTGGAGGCTACAGTGAGCCAAGGTTGTACCACCGCACTCCAACTCAGGAGACAGAGCATGAAGTCACCTTCATGGAGATGATTATTGAAAATGGGAATGATCACTGGTTGCAGTGGTGCGTGCTTGTAATCCCAGCTACTCAGGAGGCTGAGGCGGGAGATCCCTTGAGCCCAGGAGCTCAAGGCTGCAGTGAGCTATGATCACACCACTGCACTCCAGCCTGGGTGACAGAGCAAGACCCCATCTCTACAAAAAATTACTTTAAAAATGAGCCAGGAAGGATGGTGTGCACCTGTAGTCCCAGCTACTTAGGAGGCTGAGGCCGGAAGATCTCTTGAGCCTAAGAGTTTGAGGCTGCAGTGGGCTATGATTGAGTCACTGCACTCCAGCCTGGGCAACAGAGAGAGGCCCTGTCTCTTAAAAGAAAAGAAAAGAAAATGGAAGAGATGGTTAAGGCAGAATGATAGGGAAAGGAGAGAACAAATCCTCAGGGATCTTTAAGAATCTAAGGGATTGGGGTAAAAAAAAAAGTAAACAGCAAAAGAAAGAGCAGTGAGTAGCAGAAGAGTTATAGAATGCAATGGTTTTGTTCAAATGAAAAAAAGTAATATAATACAAAGGGGATGAGGGCCTAATTAAAAATTAGAGGTCAAGTACCATGTCTGACATTGTCTCACACATAACTTTACAATCTTAATGTTAGTCCTAACAACAGGCCCTGAGGAAGTCATTAGCATCACCATCGTCATCTCCATCTTCATCATTACATTTTATGCAAAAGTACCTGAGGCTTAAAGAGGCAAAGTTCTCAACGTTATATACAATATTAAATAACTGATATTCAAACACAGATCTGACACCAGACACCCTTTTCCACTATATCATGTGTGAGGTGGGGAGGGATATATAGCTTCAAATGACTCCAAACACCAAAGGAAGTTGAGGAGTAAACACGACTGTTAGATTTGGAGTCACTGTGTACCTTGTGGCAAGACTTGGCTGAATCCAGGTAGGGAAGCCAGTGAGCAACAGGCTGAGATACAGAAGAGCAAACAGAAGGAATTAGAGTGAGGGCTGCCCTCCCAAGATGCTTGGCAGTGAAAGCAGGAGGGAATAAGCAAACTTTTGGCTTAGAACTAAGCGTATTTGAGGGCTGCATAGGCCAGAATCGGGTGGTGGAGGAGTTAAGAGAGGCTGATGTTAGACTCATGGCTCATTTTCTTCTACCCACCCCCAAACAATGATGGAGTGGCAAGGGTCTGAGTACAACAGCACCAGCAGAAAGGGATATTTCCATACAGGTCCCTAAGCAGCTACTCTGAGCTTTGGGATGTGTGACTCTCACCTGGCTTTGGGATGACATAGCTTGCAAGTATGCCACCATGAGAAAGTGGCATGAGGGTTAATGCTGCTGTGCATGGTTTCTTCTAGACATGTCACTGACGGGCTCCTGAAAGGCACGGACGCAGCCCAAGCCGCACAGTACATGGCTATGGAAAAGGCCACGGCCGCAGAAGTCCTGAAGAGCCAGGAGGAGGCAGCCCACACCTCCAGCCAGCCCTTCCACAGCACAGGTGCCCCTGGCGATGCGAAGTCAGAAGTGGTGCCTTTGTCCGGCATGACGGTTCACCACGCACAGAGCTCCCCTGTGGCCATCCAGCCCTCGCAGCACTCCGTGGCCCTGCTGAACCCTGCTCAGAACTTGCCTCATGTGGCCAGCTCCCCCGCCGTCCCCCAGGAAGTAAGCCCCACCCTGCAGACATTGCAGGCTCCGCAGTCCCCACAGACACCCATGAATGGGTCTGCCATGCAGAGCTTGTTCATTGAAGAAATCCACAGTGTGAGTGCCAAGAACAGGGCAGTGTCTATCGAGGTAGAGTCCTATTTCCATTTCTCATAACCCCATAAAGGAGTCTGATACATGGGCCTTTCCCTCAAAGCATTTATAGGCCGGATGATGACATAATTGTGTATGGATCAGAGACAGAGTTTTGGAAGTGGAAGTGGGATTCAGTGGCCAGGTGAAGAGATAGGTCATCTGGTTTCAGAGAAGGATGAGACACCTAGCCTGTAGGAAGGTGAGGCAGTGGTGTGCTGGTAAATGTTTAACAACCAGCTCTCTGGTACTGGCTGTGGTGGGGGGTAGGCGGGGGGGCTACTCTGTGTGTGGCATTTGCCAATTTCCATGGTGTAAATATCGCAACCATGGCTGATTTCAAGTTACGACATGACACCACTGCTGCTGAAGTTGGGAAGAGATGTGACAATCAGCTATCTGGGCCAGGACAGCTTCAAGCACTCCATTGCGGTGAAGGCAGCCTGAGGAGGGTCTGCAACTCATGTAGACGATAAGTGGAACCTGGTTAGCAGGGGAGGGTGGTGAGGACAGTCTAGGATACTAACATGCTGGATCAAAGTCTGGGACCATGACTAAGCCTGTCTAAGTGGAACAAGAACGAGGACTAAGACTGGGGAAATGGGCTGGAAACTGACTTGAGAGCTTGAAAACCAGTCCGTGATGTTTGGAGTTTGTTTGGAAGGTGTCAGAGAAATGCTGCAGCTTGAATCCATGATTTTTTTTAAATGGCATCTTCTGGAAATTAATCTAGAAACAACATACAGAATTGATTGAGGTGGTGGGTCTAGAATTAAGACAGCTGGATGAGAAGTTACTGTAGTCATCTAAGAATGAACGGTAGAGCAGTCAGAATGAAAAGAGAAAACTAGGTCTTAAGATCAAATGACATGAGGCCATGTGTGGTGACTCATGCCTGTAATACCAGCACTTTGGGAGGCTGAGGCGGGTGGATCACTGGAACATGAGTTCAAGACTAGCCTGGGCAACATGGCAAAATCCCAACTCTACCAAAAAAAAATATACAAAAATTAGCTGGGCGTGGTGGCATGTGCCTGTAGCCCCAGCTACTCAGGGGGTTGAGGTGGGTGGATCACCTAGGTCCAGGGAGGTCAAGGCTTCAGCGAGCCAAGATCCCATCACTGCACTATAGCCTGGGTGACACAGCGAGACCCTGTTTTAAAAACCATGAGATCAAATGACATATTACATTTTGAAATATTCTTTTTATCAAGGGCTGGTATCAATGCTCCAATAACACATTTGGCTTTTCTACTTACCTTTTTCTTCTTGCCACGTAACTTTTCCTCCACTCATTTGCTTTATCCCCAGCAACCTTGTCCTAACCCTCCTGCCTCTGCTGAAAATCACCAGTGGAGAGCTCAGGTTGGGTATATCGAGACGACCTGGCAAAACTGCCACAGCCGCAGTCACAGCCTCCGGGCCTCTGAACACTAGGTGGTTTCTGTCTGTCCCAAGGGCCCTGGCTTGCCCCTAATCAGAGCCAGCTATTTAAAAAATGCATATCACAAGGGTACGGAAATGTGATTGACGGAGTGTGATTCTATTCCCAGTCCCTAGTAGGGCAGGGGAGGAAGAGACATTGGCAGACCCGTCACTTAAGATGTCTTGCCACTTTAAACATCTCAACATTTAAAGGATGTCAGTATGATGGCACTCTTATTTAACAAATCTCTATTGAGGACCCAGTGGGCATAGTGATCATTGTGATGTGTGTGTTTTACACTTTGACGGGAGATAGGAGTCATCTCTGAAAATGCCCTGATCCACAGGTATGGAGTCCTGGGTTTTTCTGCCAGATCTGCCACTGACAAATGGGGTGAGCATTATTCATTCAACAGAGATTACCGAGCCCGCTATGTGCCAGGCCCTCGTAGGCTCGGGGGAAAGCCAGTGAACAGAAGAGACAAAGTCTGTGCCCTCAAGAAACTTACCTACTTGTAGCAGGAGACAGAAAAAACGTATATGCCAGGTGGTAATCAATGCTAGGAAGAAAAAATAAAAGAGGGTTAGAATGGTGGAGGTGGTGGTTATTATTTATATGTAATGAAACTTGGGCAAATTCTTCGTTTCACTGGACCTCAAAGTTCCCATATGTTGATTCAATGATCTTTGCCAATTCTTAGGTTATGGGGTTCCACTAATCTTGGTGTGAATTTCCACCTGGCCCTCTTGGAATTATTAATGTGCTAGTTCAAAAATCGCAGGAAAATGTTCTTTTAAAAAGTGTACAGATGTTTTAAAACGCATTTTATGTATAACTCTCTGTTGTAGAACTTAAAGGAGCTTATGGGTCATCTAAATAATACCTCCTCCCCCATTTTATAAGACAACACGACCCAGAGAGCATATAGCAATTCCTTGATAGAAGTGGTTCTAAGACACAGGATTTTTGTTCTTAGTGTTGTGGGTTTTGATCGTTTGCTTGGACATCTCTTCTATAATGAAAACTCAATTTAAAAAAAATTTTAGGCTGGGCATGGCGGCTCATGCCTGTAATCCCAGCACTTTGGATTATAGACTCATGTCTCACTCAAGGCAGAAGGATTCCTTGAGTCTAATTGTTTAAGACCAGCCTGGGCAACATAACAGACCCCATCACTATTTTTAAAAAAAGAAAAAAAATTAGCCAGGTGTGGTGGCTCACATGTGTAATCCTAGTTACTCAGGAGGCTGAGGCAGGAGGATTGCTTAAGCCCAGATGTTGGAGGCTGCAGTGAGCTATAATGACGCCACTGCACCGCAGCTTGGATGACAGATTGAGACCCTGCCTCTAAAAAAATAAATCTTGGTAGTAGAAAAAATACTTTTAAAAGCATGTCATTTTAAGTTCAGGGGTAGAAGTGCAGGTTTGTTACATAAGTAAACATGTCATGCGGGTTCGTCGTGCAGATTATTTCATCACCCAGGTCTTAAGCCCAGTACCCATTAGTTATTTTTCCTGATCCTCTCCCTCCTCCCACCCTCCACCCTCTGAAAGGCCCCAGTGTGTGTTGTTCTCCTCTATGTGTCCATGTAACTTTCTTTACCTGCTATATTCCTCCAGAAAGCAGAAAAGAAATGGGAGGAAAAAAGGCAAAATCTGGACCACTATAACGGGAAAGAGTTTGAGAAGCTCCTAGAAGAAGCTCAAGCCAATATCATGAAGTCAATACCAAATCTGGAGATGCCGCCAGCTGCAGGCCCACTGCCAAGGGGAGATGCCCCAGTGGACAAGCTGGAACTTTCAGGTAAGGTCCGGTCCCACAGCAGGAACATATGGAGGTACATGGCCTTGGGTAAATATGGTACCATCCACAACAGGACATACTCATCAACAGAACCAATGTCTCAGTTCTTACAAATCTTATAAAATGTAAAACCTGGAAGAGCAAATCCTCTGGTGTTCCTTAGATCTTTAATAGTATCTCTTTTTTTCCTTTCTTTCTTTCTTTTTTTTTTTTTTTTTTGAAATGGGGTCTTGCTCTGCCACCCAGGCTGGAGTGTAGTGGTATGATCATAGCTCACTATAACGTCCAACTACTGGGCTCAAGCAATCCTCCCACCTCAGCCTCCCAAGAAGTAGCTAGGGCTATAGATGTGCACACCACTGCATGTGTCTAATTTTTTTTTTATTTTTTGAGAGACAGGTTTCTCACTGTGTTGCCTTGGCTGGTCTCGAACTTCTGGCCCCAAGCGATCCTCCTGCCTCAGCTTCCAGAGTAGCTAGAATTACAGGCTTGAGCCACACTTGATTTCACTACTACTGTTTTACCCTAGCCATAGAGAAGCTGAGTTCTGTGTTAGGATTCTAGAATAATGGCCAATAAAGGAAAATTTAAATTCCTAGTATTTGCGTTTTCTATGCATTTGTGATACTGCACCACACGAGCTGGGAAAATATTAGGCCTGTATTTAAGACCAGAGCTTTTTGTATGCTTACAGAAAGAAAATGGTAGCTTTTATGAGCTACCAGGGAATATTAGATCATAAGGCAAAATTGCATTTTTTAATCAAAATTATTAGAATATATATTTAACCAACTTAACTATGGAAGTTAAATGCCAACCTGTCAATAATAATATAACTTCTAGGAATCTCAACCTATTAAATATTCCATCATTTACAAACCATGCGTCTTATTCTGATCTTAAAATTATGGACCCAGATGTTATTTTACTTGCAGCCTAATGTCTCCTCAGTGTCACATTCCACAGTGCCTTATCCAGCAACTAAAATTAATTTGGAAAGGAATCCCCATCTTGACTTGCATGTCAAGAAACATTAAAGTGGATTCCATTTATAACCACTATAGAGTCATCCCTTGGTATCCACGGGAGATTGGTTCCAGGACTCCCATCGGATACCAAAATCTGAGGATGTTCCAGTTCCTGGTATAAAATGGCATGGTATTTGCATGTAACCTACTCACATCCTCCCATATACTTTGTGGGGCCAGCACACCTCAGCTGTGTGACTCCACTGCCTGCCTCCACGTACTTTCAATCATCCCTACGTTACTTATGATACCCAATACAATGTCTACACGTTACTTCATTTGTGTGGATTCAACATAGTACTTGGCGCAAGGCAAATTCAAGTTTTATTTTTTGGGATGTGGAGGGAATTTTTTTAATACATATTTTCCATCTGCAGCTGGTTGAATCCACAGATGTGGAACCCATGGATGCAAAGGACCACCTGCACCTGTCTCCTCCCCAGTTTTCATCCAGTTCATCCCCTAAAGCTCCACTCACTGCAGCCCTCCCCCTCCGTCTGTGCTAAGAGGCTTTTCTTATGCCTTTCCCCACCTGCCAGTTGTGTCAGGTCTGTCTAGGGTCCTGGGCGGGGCAGCTCTTCTCACACAAAGGTGACTTTCCTCCCACAGTTCCCATGGAGAATTTCTGATGGAGAAAATGCCCTAGGTCATCACACTTTTTTTTTTCCTTTTTCTTTTGAGACTGAGTCTCGCTCTGTCACCCAGGCTGGAGTTCAGTGGCATGATCTTGGCTCCCTGCAACCTCTGCCTTCTGGGTTCAAGCAATTCTCCTCCCTCAGCCTCCCAAATAGCTAGCATGACAGGCACCCACCAACACACCTAGCTAATTTTTGTATTTTTAGTAGAGACAGGGTTTCACCATGTTGGCCAGGCTGGTCTCGAACTCCTGACCTCAGGTGATCCACCCACCTCGGTCTCCCAAAGTGCTGGGATTACAGGCCTGAGCCACCGGTCAGCTCATCACGTTTTTATCTTGCCTAATTCTGCTCTCTCTGCTGCATTATTAATTTTGTCATAGAATCCTCTGATGTTTCATACAGGTCTCATAACTGTTCCTTCTCATGACTGAACAACAAAAACATATTACATTTTGTTCACTTACCTCATTTTGGCTCTTGATTCTATCCAATTTTTTAAATTTGCATAAATCACTTTTAAAATTACTCCCCAAGGTATTTTGACTTAGTTCAAATGTTCTTGTTTTTTCTTTTTCAATGCATCTCTGACTTGGTCTCAGAAACAGTCCAGTGATGGACAGGCTACCAGAAATGTGTGAAGGTAGCATCTGTGACCTGTAAACATTAGTTTCTGCCATTTTAATTTATTTGTCATGGAATTATCATTTTTAATGTATTTTTATTTATTAATGAGGCAAACTTCTAAGTGTAGAGTTTTAAATACCATTTGTATTTCCCCTTGTGTGAATTTTCTGACTATTTGGATAATGGAGGAATATGGATAATGATCGAAAATTGATAAAGGCCGGCATGGTGGCTCATGTCTGTAATCCCAGTGCTTTTGGAGGCCAACGCGGGAGGAATCACTTGAAGTCAGGACTTTAAGAGCAGCCTGGGCAACATAGTGAGACCCTATCTCTACAAAAATTTAAAAAGCAGCTGGGCGTGGTGGCGCACACCTGCAGTTCCAGCTACTCTGGGCTGACGCAGGAAGATTGCTGGAGCCCAGGAGTTTGAGGCTGAGGTGAGCCGTGATGGCACCACTACACTTCTGCCTAAGTGAAAGAACAATACCCCGTCTCAAAAATAAAACAAAAAAGGCTGGGTGCAGTGGCTCACACCTGTAATCCCAGCACTTTGGGAGGCTGAGGCACACAGATTGCTTAATCCCAGGAGTTCAAGACTAGCCTGTGCAACATGCAAAACCCTATCTCTACAAAAAAATAAATAAAGAAAAAAATAAAGAAAATTAGCCAGGTGTTGTGGTGCACACCTGTAATGCCAGCTACTAGGGAAGCTGAGGTGGGAGGATCACCTGAGCCCAGAAGGTCAAGACCTCAGTGAGCCTTGATCACACCACTGCATTCCAGAGTGGGTGACAGTGAGACCTTATCTAAAACATAAAAAAATTTAAAAAATTGTGTTTAATTAAAAAAATCAAATCTACTTCCTCTCCAACTTTGTTCTCATTTGCATCCCATTTTTTCTCTGGCCCTCCCTAGGCCAGATTCTACTGTGACATTGACCTTCAGCAGAAAACCCTCTTGCTGATGCTATTTTTTCAGACTGAGGGATGAAGGCTTTGGAGGCCAAGCAGGGGGCTATGGATTTGCCTTTGGGCTCCAATTTTTTTTTAATCTATCCAAGTACTACTCAGCTTTTTTACATAACAAGAATATTATTTAATAATATTAATAATAGGTAGTACTTTACAGAGCATTTACATTAAGCCAAGCTCAGTATGTAAGTCATTCAATCCTAATGACACCCCAAAGGAAAGTTTATTATAATACCCATTTAACAGATGAGAAAACTGAGACTGAGAGAGGTTTAGTAACTTGTGCAGGGTCTTTTTGGGATTTAAATCCAGTTGTTCTTTAGGGTCTATACACTTAATCCTTGCTCTATGGAGAGAACAGACAATTTTTAAATCAGATTGCATTGAGTTTGTAGCAATATACCAGACTTTCTGGATGTTTTCTTGCAAAAAGATTACTCTTGCAATGGTGCACTGTTTTCCAGAAGATTCTCCAAATTCAGAACAGGACTTGGAAAAGCTGGGGGGAAAGTCGCCCCCTCCTCCTCCCCCACCTCCTCGTCGAAGCTACCTGCCAGGATCGGGACTCACCACCACGAGGTCAGGCGATGTGGTCTACACCGGCAGAAAGGAGAACATCACCGCTAAGGTCTGATAGGCTAAGCCCTGGTAAACTGGCCTCTGGGTTCAGATGATACCCTTAGACAAGGTTCTGTCTGTTAGAACATAAAAAGTAGTGAGGCAGAGAATTAGTGACTCGACCACACAAGATCCCCAGGAAGCACCACAGGTGGGACAGTGGCAGCCAGTATGATTGGACTAGACCCAGTCCATGAGTGTCATCCTTATTTGACTTTTAGCTGCAACAATATGAAACGCAACTCACAAGCTATTTCGTATGTGGGCATCATAAAATTGAAAATGAGGGTAGGAGGGGGAAACAAAGATTATCTTCCAAAGGTAACTGAGGTGAGCTGACACTGTTGTGGGAGTCTATACAGAAAGATGTTCAATGAGCTTTAGATTCCACGTAACTAGTGAAGTGTTAGCTTTTATGTTAAATGTAAAACACAATTTCCAAAGAGATGGAGTATGGGGGGTCCTTTCATGAGGACTGTATTAGTCTGTTCTCAGGGTGCTGAAAAACACATGCCTGAGGCTGGGTAATTTACAAAGGAAAGAGGTTTAATAGACTCACAGTTACATGTGGCTGGGGAGGCCTCACGATTATGGCAGAAGATGAAGGAAGAGCAAAGGGACTTCTTACATGGCGGCAGGCAAGAAAGAGATTGTGCAGGGGAACTCCCATTTATAAAACCATCAGATCTCGTTGAGACTCACTCACCACCATGAGAACAGCACGGGAAAGACCTGCCCCCGTGATTCAATTACCTCCCACCTGATCCCTCCAGTGGCACATGGGAATTATGGGAGCTATGATTCAAGATGAGATATGGGTGGGGTCACAGCCAAACCATATCAAAGACACTGAATATTGAGGAGTTCCAATTATATTATCATTATTTAATCCATTCATCAAAATGACAACTTATGCAAACACAAACCCAAACTAAATGCAAAGGGATAAAATAACCTTTCAGCTATTTTCTCAGCTAAGATCTAGGAAGCCAGTGTTATAGGCAGTGAGGGACCATCTGTCCCTTTTTCGCTAGCACTTAGGAGATGTTAAGCCACTATCCATGGTTTCAATCTCCCACAGGCAAGCAGTGAAGATGCTGGACCGAGTCCACAGACCAGAGCCACAAAATGTCCAGCAGAGGAGCCTGCTTCAGCCTGGACCCCATCCCCACCCCCTGTCACTACCTCCTCCTCAAAGGATGAGGAGGAAGAAGAAGAAGAAGGAGAAAAAATAATGGCAGAACTCCAGGTATGTGGGTG